GAAAAGAAACCTTCATCTTCGGGTGCTGTTTTTCTCCTGCTGTTTATTTCTTTTGTCTTCGTTTATTCCCTAACAAATTTATAATTGGAAAAGCAGTTGTAGAGACGAACATCACAGTGAAACTTTGCTGGCTTCCTTGGGTTAGGAAGAGTTGCACTAATGTGAATATATGTTTTGTAAGAACTAGAACGTATGTTCTGGTGTGAACATACACAACTTTAAGAGTGGATATTTGTTTGCACTTTGCTTCATCTTCCACCAGAACTAAATTCTATTACATTTGGCTGTTATGCCAGGTTGAAATGACATAGAAGAAATGGAGTGTAAAGGGCTAGTCAGTTATTTAAATCTCTGCCATACCATGGGTGTTTGGCATCTGAACACCAGATTGTGGGACAGCATGGCAGCCCCATGGGCTCTTACAACGAGGCTTGGCAGAAGGTGCTGGGCAGGCTCAGTGCCAGTGCTGTGCTCTGTAAGGGGTAGCAGGGCTGTTTCCCAGGCTCTAGCAGCTTTGTTCTTTTTCTCGTTTTCCAGGAGTTCTCTGGTGGCTTCAGCAGGCTTGGAAAGCCAGGCACGGACACCATCTCCTTCGCCCCCTTACAGCGGTTCTCCTAGCCCGTCCAGGTAAGAAAGACTGTTCAGTGATGGCCATCCAGCATTGATTAATTAAACCCATTGACCTCCAGGAGAGAATTTTGGAGATCTTGGGAGTGTTGGGCTAGGTTCATATCTTTTCGTGTATTAAGGTTACAAGAAACACCATTGAGAAGCTCCCAGCTTTGAGGACTGATGATTCTGAACTGCAGAGCTTGTCTCTCCTTCTGGCCCTCAGGAGGGCTCTGAAGAGAATATAGTAGAGCAGGAATTAACGCCCCTTCCCTGAGGAAACAGAGAATGTTCTCAAGTGGACAGTAAATGTACACCCCACTGGTGAATATGTTATCCTAGCCCCCCTTCTGTGTTTAGCCTGCAGAGGAGATGAATATTCCTACTAAGTTTCTTACTTCTCAATTCCTACAGTTCTTTGGAGCACAGAACCAAGGTTGAAACCACTACAGGCTTGAATTGCTGGGCAAGGGACAGGAGGACAAATGTAGAGGAGTGTTGCTCATCTCTCCTGGCTTTTGAAGGCTTAGTTGTTTGCCTTTTGCTTGAAGCACTAAACAGCCCGCTGCAGTACGTTTATAGAAAACACTTCTGCTATGTGGGCCAGGTTTAGTAATGAAGGATGCAGCAGTTGGAGTAAGGAATGCAAATAGGCTTGGTCACAGGTTTAGCCCCAACTAAATCAGTTGCAGCAAACTCAGCTTGGCCTTTAGAAATGAGCTGTCTGTCAGCTGCTCAGCTCTGCTGGTGGTTCCAGGAACATTTTTGGTCAGCATGCACACGGTAGTGGCTGTAGAAGGTGATTCCATTGCCTCCAAAGCCGTGGGGTGTGTGGTTAGCTTGTGGAGAGCTGGCAGGGGCTGCCTTCCACGTGCTTGCCAACTGGGGAAGCAGAACAGCTTTCATATGCTGTTCTGGCAATATGGCACCTGTGGGGGGAAGAGAGTTGGAGGGGAATTTACACCGCAGGCAGGAGGGATGACCCTAAAATTCTCTCTTGGGGGAGAAAAAAAGTACAGAACAGTCGAAGTGACGTGTTGGAAACACTCTTCACGTAACAGAGTCCACACAATGACAAAGCGTAGCTTCTAACAGATATATAGGAGAAGAATACAGCTCCAAGCTTTGCTGATGCGATCAAGTAATTGGCCAGCACATACCACAGTGTGGAGTTTAATTGCATGAGGCTTCTAATGCCGTTGCGTGTTGTATTTTTTAACAGTTTATTCTTTAATCGATCAGTTTGCATTCTTGGGATCAGTCTTGATTAAAAGATAGGGCCTTGTTTCTGGACAGCAGTGAGTGAAAATGCATGCAAGATTACTACAAATGCCACCCACTTTTCACTGTTCCCCCACCCTCTTCACCAAATGGGCCCAATCGTACTCTGCTGGATTAGAAGGTAGAAAGTCACTGCCAGTGGCTATGATCTAAAGGTACTTCTGCTCTCCCTGTCTTTCCTACTTGTTTCCAGCAGCTTCTGTGGAGCAGGCACCAAAATCTGCAGAGCTGGCTTCCATTTTTCTGTTTGCTTCAAAGAAACCCTGAAAAGTTGCTTTCTGTTCTCTGTCTAGGACAAGGAACAAAAAAACATAGGTAGTGAAAGACTGGAGGAGCCGTTCTGAATTCCAAGCCTGGAATATGATCTTTGGTCAGTCCCCTGAGTAGTGATTTGAATGGCGCTACCAGAAGTACCCTTATTGCTAACATGGGTGTCAGTGCTCTCCACTGTAGGTGCCATGAGGCCTCCTGGTTCAGATCTTGGCTTTGCCAGTACAAAGGACCTGTATTTTTCTCTCCTCCTTTCCTTCTTCACGAGCAAGCAGGAACTCCAGACTAGCAAGCAATACTGGATTCAGCCCAACTGGGACAAAAATCAAGGGCTATTTTTGGGTGGACAGCAGTGGATTTTCCTCAGGATGATTAAGATGGTCAACACTAGACAGAATTAATACATGCTAACAGTGGAGCTTATTTTAAAAACACATGCTAAAGATGCTTATTAAGTTCAATGAAAGATACATCCAAGGAAGTATCCCAAAGCAATGGATATAATCCCATTTTCAAAGAGCTTTTAATTACTGGCAAGTAATTAAACTCCTTGTCCCAGCTTTATCTCTTGGTGTATGCAAGTTTATGGTCTGTTTAAGACTTGAGGCCAATTAGCAGGTTTAATTTCTGTCGGTTAGCTTGGATATTTTTATTTGCAACTTGTAAAGAGCTGGCTTCTTTGAAGACTTGATATAATTCCTGGGTAGAGGGATCCTTTCACTAAAGAGGTCACTTCCACAAAACGATTTTGGCCAGACTGATTTTGGCAAGTCTGGACATTTCCAAATTGAAGTTTGACATTGAGCCTCACCTTTCTTGGTCAAAGTTCTGTTCAGCTTGTCCCTCTGACTCTGTGTTTTATGCTTTTGGAAGGCAGAGACCCCAGAAATTTGACTTTCCACAGAGCCTTAAGTTCCCTTATTTTCTTTTATGTCAGTGAAGCATCAAGGCCTTCTTACTGCCTGTTAGAGGCAGACTAAAGTCATCAAGTTGTATTTGTGGGAATTGTGGTGTTCTAATGAGGTGCTCAAGGTGCCAGGTAAGCAGACAACTATTCTCTCCTCCCCTCTCCACATACATGCACTGTCGCCAAGTATCTTCCTTAATCTTTACCTAAAGTTAAAGGCTTCCGTACCAAGTGTTACACCTGGGGAATAACCCTTCCTGCTTGTAAGGGACAGTGCCAGCTGTGCCTCCTAGACTGACAACAAGGAAGACTACAGAAGCCTTCATTACCAATAAGATCCTCCTGTAGTTGTGCAACAATCCTGCAATTGGTGTTGGCAGTTGTAAATAGCATTACCATGGCAATTAATCCTAGAATTCTGGCACCTTTGGGAAAAAGACTTAAGCACAGCTATTTAGTTAAGCGTGTGTTTGCATGGGTTTTGTGTAGCATAGTACCCAGGCTAAGAATAAGAGAGGGAGCTGCCATTGGGAGACAGCAGATAGCAGATATGAGCCGAATAATCTGCTCGGGTGGAGCCAGGAAGGAGTCTGCAGTCTGCAGAATGGGCCTGTCCCGTTTAGCACGGGTGATGTTTTGCCGACCTTTGTGGGCATTTCGGTGTATAGCCCCTGGACCTTGTCTCTGATTTTGTTCTCTCCTAAGGTGTCTTCTGCACCCTGTAGTTACTGCACCACTCTGATGTTCCCCACGAGTGTGTGTTCTCTTCTCAGCACGGCAGTTCTCGTAGGGATCCCCCTGCTCCAGCTATGCACAACTCGCTAGTCTCACTTGGCAGCGAAACCTTTTGCTGGATTGTTTTGAGAGCCACGAGCATTTAGCCTTTGTTGGGCGATGTGCTCTTTGGCTGTGCATCTGAGCTGTAGAAAACGAGGCCAGTCTGAAATATCTGGGCTCCAGTTTTGCAGAAGGGAGTGGTGTGCTCGGAGGTGGGAGCTCACTGCAGCCTGTGGGTGGGAGAGCAGCACGTTCTCACCTCATCAGGGTGATGTGTGGGGCCACTTCCTTCTGGTAGGACTTCGACCCAGCAGCAGCTCGCAAGCCGCGGAGAGGAGCTTTGCAGAGCTCGTCCCTCCCGTTACAAGGGGCTCTCCTTGTCTCTCCACAGCCGGCCGGGGCAGTTTTCCAGCAGCAAGTACGGACACTCTGTGCCCATTCCGGTTCCGACGCAAATCCATAACTACAGGCGGATTGAGCAGAACCTGCAGTCTCCCCATCAGTGCTCCTCGCCGCGGTAAGTGCTGCGGGCCGGGGCGGACGGCGCTCCGCTGATGTTGCAGCTCAGGACACGCTTTGCAGTCTGTTCTTGTTACTCCTTTAAAAACTTCCCTGGGCAATGGGCTCTCCCCGTTGCCCTGGGGAACTAACACAGTATGTGTTAGGTGGTAACATTGCTATTGGGGTATTTTATTGTCACAATATGATTTATTTATTAGCAATTACTGGAAATTTGATGTGTGATGGCTCTTGCGGATTTCCAGTGCAGGCTGAGCCCTTTGTGAATCTGACAGATTTTTTTAATGCTAGATTGGGCTTGGATATTCAAGTGGAGAGCAACATTTATTTAGCAGATGCCTTTATGGAAGCAAAATTTGAGAAAAACATCTAAAATTAATGGGGCAGTAACACTTACCTGGCTCCACCTTCACCTGTTCCTGCGGCCAGTCACGCCATGGATGATGTGTCTCACGTTAGTTGCATATTAATGTGGTTATGCAGCCTGATTAAATCATGAGCAATTTGTGCCTGTGAGGCAGAATCCGCGTTTCGGAGGGCCGCGAGGAGGAACCGGATGCAGCCTTGCTCCATCGAGCCGCCTTCCTGAGTTCAGTGCTCATGGATTGGGCTTGCATGAAACAGCAGCCTTCTGTCACGTGTAATTCATGGTTCTTGCCATTCTGAGATGAGACTTAACCTGACAGCCTGGGTCATTGAAAGGAGTTTCTTACAGTTTCTCAGGTGTACTCTACTTAGGTAGGGCAAAACGCAGGTCCTTTTAGCCTTGGGCCTAAGACGCACATTACCCATGTAATGTACGAAGGGGCAGTCTGGGAGGCACATAGAGGATGTGCCCAGGGTCCCCGACACGGCGCAGACTCCGGCGTTCAGGTCACAGCCTGGAGCCACCAGCCTGGGATTGACTGTCATGTTTTGCTCCTTTTAGTCAGCACAGTGTAATGGTGAGATTAGCATCGTCCCTGCAGAGGAACTCGAGGAATGGACGCAATCAGATGATTCATGCTCTGCTTTTAGCAGCTTCTCAAAATCACTGGCGTCATGTTTTTTTCTGTCCAAGGAAGCCATGTTTATCTCTCATGATCACTTCCTCTAATCACCAAATTCAGCAGACACCCTTCAAGAATGGAAGGGGAAAGCTTCATCAGGTAGTTAATATGTGATTCCAGTTTTCCATCATGAGTACAACTTAGGCCATTACAGCCAAATGCCTAGTCGTGCCTGGCAGGTGATTTGACTAAAAACTTTGAAATGTGCTGTTTTTGAAAAATTGATACGGTCATCTGACTGGCGGGTGCAAGCCTGTGTAATGTAGCTTGTTTGTGGCAAGATAAGTTGCTTGTGGAGGTGGTAATTATGTGCACTTACTTTTGGCCACATCACCTGTCCTGCTCGTCTGCTTGCTTATGCCGTGTCTTGCAGGTGGTGGTTGACATTCCTCATCGCTCAGCAGCTGCAATCAGCTGCATGTTTTTCTGAAAGTTCATGATAGGTAGGGTCAACCCTTTGGCTGGCTCGTATTATGGAGAGTTAAAAAGGTGGCGGGGAGAAATATCAGGTGTCTCAATAGCAGAAAGAGCCTTTTTGTCCTCCTGGGTTCCTGTTCCCTTTTGTGTGCACATATGTGTATAATCATTCGTGTTGCTTCAGGGCCAGGCACTTGATGGTGCTAAAATGCAGAGCAACCTGGCATGCACAGGAGTGTTTTAAGGTTGAAGCTTTAAAGAATTCCCATTTTTTTCCTAATGTATGAATGGAGTGTGGATTCATCTGACTGAGGCACCTTAGTAAGACATTGAAGGAAAGGAGGAGAATTAAATTCTTAAACCCCAAAATAGCCTTTTTTTTCCCCTGGAACATGGTGTAAAGTAAAGCTTACTGAATGGAGTTGTTGAGTGGATATAGGGATACTTCATCGAGATGACTTTGCCATTCCTGAGTAACGTAGTTAGCCCTGCTTGTGCTGTTAAACCCCACATGCCTGTGTTTCTGCTGCTCAGACGTGCATGGACAGCGTAATCCTGCGGTGGAGGGAGAGGAGGGGTGTTTGGGTGATAGAATCTTTCAGTGATGTGAGCTCAGTTTTGTTTTTTTATTTTTTCAAATGGTTCAATGATTCTTGTCCAAAAAAACACCTAATGGCTGAGACCAATATCCTTTTAAATGAGGAAAATCAAGAGTAAAATTAAGGAGCTGATGAAAGGAGTGTTTTCTTATGTAGTTGACTATGATGGGAATCTTAGTGAAGGAGCCTGCAAAGGTAAAACTGCATTTCAGTAAGCAGCGTTTGGTTTGAGTGCATGTTCTTACTATGCAATGAAAACATTCAAATATTAAGAAACACTCAATATGCAAAATCACCAGCTTTCTCCAGAGAGATGGTGTGGCTGCACTGACTTTACTCCAGTTTCTCTCTTCTGTCTCTCTGTAGCAACTGGGAAACACTTGAGGTTCCTGCATGGGTGGCCTGTACAAATTAAAGTAATCTTAAGCCTTCCAGGCGAGGTTTTACAGGCAGTTAAAGGCACTGGATGCCCAGACAGTTCCGAATACCCCAACCTAGAGAGTTATTCCTCTGGGTAGGACAGAGATGGTTTAGATCTGCCAACCAGGCACTACTGTGTTTGTCTCCTCTGCTGATTTGAATCAAAGCTCTGCTGAGGATCAGTTGGTTTGGCCAGCCTAGCTCTGCATGACACAGCATGCACTCGCAGAGCTTTCTAATTAACAGGCTGCTCTAACGAGGGAGCGTGCGGCACAGCAGGCAGGGAACGCTCGAGTGAAGCCCTGTGAGTGCATTATGGAAGCAGTAGTCAGGATAGGGAAGGTAGGGAGCTGTTACTTGTTCGTAATTGTTCTACATATCTGAAAGAGTCCAAATACGATTCTTAAAAAAGGTAGGCTTTTCTGCTTGCATTTAAGCTAATCTCATTCTTTTCCTCCTTTGTTTTATGAAATTTTATTTGGATTAAACATTTGGAACTAGGGCTACATAAATGCCTATTAAGATGATAATCCTTGTGCAATGGGATTTTGATTCAGGATGAACAGTCAGGAGGGATCATTTCTGTGGAAGTACCTAGGCTTGAGCGTCTGGTGATACTGTTTTTCTTGCTCTCTTTAACTGGCAACTGAAGTAACGTGTACGTTGCTGCTGTTTCCACCAAGGTCTGGGGCGGTTCGGAGATCTAGCAGTACAAGCCCTCTTGGTTTTCCTAAAACTGGTGCTTCGCCTCCTTATGCTGGAGAGCATGGATCTGTGCCCAGCTCTAGGAAGCTCTCGTTTGGTGGTGCCAAGCCGTTCATGCCATCCCCACAAGGTAAGCACCACAGGGAATATTGCTGCCCTGATAAAATCAAGGGTGTCCCTTCCTCAGCAAGAGAAGAGGTGGTGACCAGCTGTCGCTGCATGTAATGGGGAATTGAAGTTGTTGGGTTCTCTCGTGGCTCTTCGATTTGACAAATGTTTTGGCTTGTAGTAAAATGGAGATGAAGATATTTGTCTTCCTCACAAGATGCAAGCTTTGTTTTAGTTTTTGCATGAAATATTTTGTAATCTTCTTAAGAGGGCTTCTGCAAGTGCAAAATATTTTTTTTAGCATCTCAGACTGGAGTGATAAAAATGGAACTCAGTTGCTGTTGGAGCAGAATTCTCCCTGGCTTTGAGAGGGTCTGAACTGCACTGTTCAGAGTGAGTTCAGAGTAGTTGTTCAGAGTAGCTATCTGAGTAGCTGGTAGCCTGATCCAGATGCTAACAAGCAATTCAAATGGAAGGGGATAAGAAAAACCCCAGTGTGCAATTGATGCAATTTGCTAATTTCCAGAAAGGAATGGACTCTGATGTAACTAGATATTCTATATTCCCAATCCTATATTTATAAGTCTCATTTAGTGGGCAAATGCAGAACTAGTCATATTTTACTTTGCAATTAACATCAGCAAAACTAGACTAAAGCTGGCTAAGTTAATGCTAGGTAGAGCTTACTTTTTCCTTTTTTATGACAGTTGTTGATCTTTTCACTATACAGTTAGGGCTGAGGAGGTGAGAGATGACTAGTGTCTTCCTATAGAGTGGGTTGTGCATAGTGTTGTTATTATCTGTGGAAAATTAACGCTGAAGTAACTTACTGGTTGTGTTTCTCTCAAAGTGGGAACGATCCCCGAGCAGCCTAACCAGACTGTTATCCCTTCCTCTCTTGGAGCAGAAATGAGAAACCGGATTCCTGTGGCTGGTACGTTGCTTACTTTCCTTCATTATTCCTTTGGGTAAGGTCAGTCCATGGTCTCAGAGTATTGAAGGTTGAGTGCAATTCTTGGAAGCTTCTCCTGGTTGTTGGCCAACCAGGATTTCTGCATGTTGGCAGGAGCAGAGATTACTCTGCGCAGGTCCGCAGTCTCTTCCTGTGCTTGACAGATCTGTGCCACAGAAGCTCTGATTTGGGGCTCTGAAGGCAATGGATTGAGTAGAGCCCTCCTGACTTCCCCTTCTGCCACGAGCCCTGCTTGATGTGCAATTTCCTTGCTGCTGATGTAAGGGCTGCAATGAAATTAAAAAATCCAGCCATGCTTTTTGTCTCTGCTGTTCATGTCTGCTCCTCCTGTAGGTCAAACCCTGGTCAGATCTAGTTTTGTGGCACTGATAGGAGTGCCATCCATATGCATCCATTGAAAATTTTGAGCTGAAGAACCCTGATAGAAACATACTCCTTTGGATGTTCTAGTGAATCCAGTGATCCTAGTGAATCCTGGCTTTTCGTGTCAGTAGCAGGGAATGATGTGGTTTGTCACTGTGTTTATGCCCTCCAGGTGCCGCAGCACCCGAACACTCTCCTCGAGGGATGGGTTCCCGGCTCCACAGCGCTCCCAACCTGTCAGATTTACATTCGTGCAGGCAAAAGATAACCAAGCAGCACTCGGACCCTCTCGTCGCTCACTTTGGCCACAGCGCGGCCGGCCAGCCGCTGGCCATGCACGGCCTGCAGCACTGCCGGCAGCTCCGCTCCTCGCCAAAGCTCTCTGAGTTCATGCAGAGAAGCCCTCTGCCAACTATCTTGGGCTCCCCTACTAAGGTATTTCTAGGAGTCTACTTCTGGGTCTCTCAGCTTGGTCTGGTGGATTATTTGGGGTTGAAATACTGTGTGATCACGTAACTCTGGCCTGGATTTATCACGTGCTCTTCCCCCTTCCTCAAGGGCTGTTTAGTGATCCATGTGGAACGTGGTGGTGCCCCAGTTCTTTGTGGACACATCTCGCTTGGCAGGGCTTTTGGCCATCTGAGTGGAGTCCAGGGGTTTAAAGAGTCCAGAAAAGGAGCTACCCAGATTAGGCCACAAGTGCATTAGTGAGCTGTCATGTCCAGGGTGATTTGCACGCACTGACTTGGCTGGTGACGCAAGCGTGTGCCCACTAGGAATCCCCAGTGGAGATGGCAGACGGTTAAGCAGGTGGCAGCCCCGGTGTCTCGTGTGGAGCTGGCACTGTGACAGCCTTTTCTCTCTGTTTGTGTTAGGCTGCTGCAGTTTTTCAGAAGGATTTTTTCGCCTTTCATTTTAGTTTTTCTGTAACCATGTGGGCTGTAATTTCTGCCTGTTTATTTCAGATATATTTCAGTTTAATTTTAGTAAAAAAAAATTAGGAAAAATAATCTTGATCTTTTGATTTTAAAAACAGATCTATATACTTTTTTTCCCCTCTCCCTAGGCTGTGTCCCCTTTCGAATTTCCCAAAACACCAAGTTCCCAGAATCTCCTCACGCTCTTGGCTCATCAGGGGGTCATGATGACTCCAACACGGAACAAGACCTTGCCAGATCTGAAGGAGATGGGTCATTTCCACTGCCAGCAGACAGGCTTGGGACTGAGGCCTGTGGAAGAGATCAAGGGCAGGTAAGCTGTACTGGCTACTATGAAGTATAAAACACTGTGGTGCTTTACTCCCTAGCACAGGAGGGATGGGATAAATTTCACACGCTGGCACTTCTTAAGGTATAGTGTAGCATCTGCAAATGTTCTGCAGTAATGTGCTAGCACCCTTGGGTAGCAAGCAGATGTTATGCAGATTTTAGAGTCTTCCTCTATACCATCAGGCCCTGGCCTAGATTTCCAAATGCAAAAGATTTGCCTGCAGCTTCACGCTGTGTTTACTGCCCAAGGTTTCATCAAGCAGGGATCAAGGATTTGGGAATTAGACCAAACTCCCTGCAATTATGCAGATATGCACCTTGCTCTTTCTGGAGCCTAGCTCTGGGAGATGTTCCTTATCTACCATGCAGTGGGCCCGGGTCTTCAGACCAGAGAGCTGCTTGAAACCCAGGGAGCAAGTGTCATGACCACTGTAGGATGCAGATCTGCTCAAGTCTTCACATTAGATTTCCTTACCTGCCTACCTGTAGTTTGCAGTTTCTCCAGTGATCATGGATTTGGGTATTCAGAGTGCTCCAGGGCTTGGCTCTTCGGGCAGGTAGGCTCCAGTTCCTTAAGGGAAGAAATTAACTTCAGTATCTTCCCCTAAAGACAATTTCTGTGTTATGGTAATGCTGCATTGAGTAATTGCATGGCTGCAATTAGTTGCAGTAGTCCTAAGCTTTCTGCGAGTATCAGGAGAAGCTTTGGGTGCTTTGTTACAAGGAGAAAGGGCCTGTGGTTATGTCTGCTCTGCACCATTTGCTGGACAGTGGTACAGATTGGAGCAGAAGTCAGCAGAAACCTTGCACGTGCCCCAAACTTGCTGATGACTTCCTGAATCATGTTTTGTCCTCTTTTTAGATCGCTGAGCACGGGCAGGCTCACTGACCTGCTCCTCAAAGCTGCCTTTGGGGCACAGATCTCGGAAGCTGGGAGCAGTGACAGCCTGAACAACGAGAAGCCGATGGAAATTGCAGGTAGCGGGAGAGACCAGGCGGATCCGGCAGGATGTCCTGGCTGGGGCTTGGGGGCAAGGGTTTCCCTGCGTCTGTCCTGTGAATGGGAGGCTTCTTATCTGATGGTTTTGGTGTAGGAAGTGTCTGCTGTGTGTGAGGAGTGTAATGATGTTTGCTTCCTCTGTGGAAGGCTCTGAGGTCTGTGGGTTACGCGTGCTGTGTAATTGCTGGCCAGCGGTGTGATTTTTGTAGGCAGGGCTTCCTCTCTTGGCCCTTTCTGGCTGTGATATCACATGGGAGTGGGGACTTGGTGCCAGGCAGCCCTGGTGTGAAGGGCTTTGCAAGGGTGGGTGTTCCTGGGCTTGCAGGTTGGGGAGCGAGGAGGGGAGAGCAGCTGCAGCAGTGCGAAGCAGTGCCAGGCTCCCATGCTGTGGTACTCGCCAGCCTGGCTTGCTAGTGCTCTCAGGGTGCTTCCAAGGGGAGCCTTGGCCTGTGCTGGTACCCACGGGCTCTCCGCAGAGCGTGCAGGAACAGAAGGCTGCTGGGTGAGGCACACGGTGCTCCAGGAACGCTCCTGTAATGCCAGTCTGCACCTTTCAACTGTCTCCCCAGCTCCCTCAGGTGCTTACGGAGGGACCCTGCACGCTGGTGCCCGGGCTGGGGGCTCTGCCAGCCCGTCCCCAGTGGTTTTTACTGTCGGATCCCCTCCCAGTGGAACAACCCCCCCACAGACCACGAGGACCAGGATGTTTTCAGGTAAAGGGCTGACACCCACCTGTTCCACTGCAAATGTCTCCAGGCTGAGCTCCGGGCCGTGTTTCTCGCTGCTGAACACGGCCAGAGCATTCCGGGATGGCCGGAGCACGACACGGAGCTCAGCTGCTCAAACACCTTTAAGGTTCTTGTATCGATTCCTGCCACCCCTGTTACTGCTGATAACTGTTTGCACAGGTACAAGGGCATTTCGGTTACTAGTGCTGGAAGAGAGAGGCCTACTGTTTTCATTTTTGCTTAAGTTGGCTCTACTTCAGGAGTAAAGCTGCAGCTGGTCATAGGCCCAGGGATTGCTGATAGGTCAGCAGTTGCAAAGATTGCATTCCTATGGTTTTTCTCCTAGGCCAAACGTAACTGATGCACAAGTACTGCCTCCTAGGTTTTGGGTAAGATGTAACAGCCAAACGTAACTGATGCACAAGTACTGTTAGGAAAGTGCTTTTGCTCTTTATGCAAAAGTACTAATGGTGTTAATTATGCCCCGAGTTGCTTACGTAGGAAAAGGAGAATGCTTTCCCACTTGGCAGATCCATCATTTTGAGATGCCAGCACTCTGGTCTCATCAGGCAGCCGCCAAGGCTCTGGTAGTGGCCCTTCTGGGGTAAAGAGTCCAGGAGCTGGAGTTTATGCTCAGTTTAAGAAAATATTTGGACACATCTGTTTGCATTTTTGACCTGATTGGGTTTTTGTCTGGGTTGTTCCTCATCTGAACGTAGTGGGCCCTTTTGTTCTTAATTACCACAAGGAAGGTTTGGATATAACCACAAATAAACTACTTTCCTGGGATAGGGGGACATATGGGCTCAGTTCCTGGCTGTAGCCTGAATTTCTCATAACTAAAACCACTCAGATCTTTGATTATCTGTCTGGAAAGTTGGGATCATAATCCTTCTTTTGTTCTGTCTGTTTAGAGTGTAAGCTCTGTAGGGCAGGGACTCTCTTGCAAAGTGTCTGCCTGGCTCACAGCCAAGGTAGCAACTCCTTTGTGGAAGGACCTCTGGTTCCCACTGAAATGTTTTGAATAGGGAAATCAGGCTTCCTGTATTGCTTTTGCGGCAACTTGGAAGCAGATCCAAGCCCAAGTTGTTAGGGGGTCGGCACTTGGATCTTCAGGGTCTTCAAAACAGGATCTCAGATGGGATCCGTGGAAGAGGAGGCTCTTGGGCAGAAAAGTTAAATCTCGTGCACAGCACTTGGCCAAGCCAGTGTGCAAACAGTGCAGCTTGGCAAGCTTGGTCTGGCAGCAACTCCTTTTGTTATAGCTAAGACACAAAAGGGTTGAGACTCTATAACCTAGATGTTTGTGCCAGCAATGAGTAAGACTGCTTGACAAAGCCTTTTAACACATGATGATAGAAACTTCTGCGAGCAGGGTCCTGGAAATACAGGATGCTTGAAGTGTGATGTTGTCTCTGAAAGGTCTGGAAATACCCTGTCAGTCTTTTGAGGTATGCTTGGCACTGAACTGCTGCTAACTGCAAGAGAGGTTCTGGAGGAAAGGAGCCTCTGCCTTGCTTGACTGTGTGTCACGTTGCTGGACCTTAGAGCAGCAAATAAAAATCACAGGGGCAGATGGGTCCCTTCTACCCACATAGTCAGTGACAGTGGAGAGTGTCACCTGTGTAGAATTAACACAGTCTTGCAGCTGGGATTAGCATCTTCCTGCTGGGCAGAACCCCTCTGCAGAAGTGCAAGTTCAGGGGGTGTGAAGCCCTCTGGAAAGGAATACCCAGGGACAGAAGTTCTTTTTAAAGTATTTATCTTTATACATGATATGCTCATGGGGTGGATTCAGTGATCAAGAGGGCAAAGAGATGATGTTAGAGGATCGTGTGATGGACACAAGACTAGGCAGGATTTCCTGAGTTCTGAATTAGGGTGTTTCCATAGCTGATGTCACTTACCCTGTGCCCAAGCTCCCATTTGTCAAGAGAAGGAAGCAGAAATGTGGGGAATGTAGTGGAAAACTCTCCTGGCTTCCGTCTAAATTGCTGATGTTTTAAAACTATGATAACTTCACTTAGCAGAGGTAATGAAGACCCAGAGTTCAAACCATGCTGAACTGTGATGGGGAATTCGCTGTAGTGGCATATGATAAAATAAGGCCAAGATACTGAAGCAGAATTTGAAAGGGCTTTGGGGAGGGAGAGGGGAAAAAAAGCTCCTGTAATTGTCTCTGTGAATGACAAATGTTCTGGAAGGTGCTTTAAATGTTGGAGTTGATAAGTTGAGATGATGAGGAGCTTGCACGAGGAGCAGTTGTTCTGGATCCATTGCTCTCCAAAGCATCTGTTGCTGACCCCTATCAGGGATGGGATCCTGCATCCCACCGTGGCAGCAGTACCCCAGCCTGGGCGAGGAATACCCAGTCTGGTATTAAAATACTAATTTCCTTGTCTGTTTTTCTTTTCAGTGGGGTCTTCCAGCTCTCTCAGTTCTGGGGGCTCGTTCACTGGCAGACACCTGGCCATGGGGGCGGGTGGTGACGTCCTGGAAGGCCCCACCAGTCTCCGGTACGCCTTCGCTGACCCCATCGCCGCTAACCTGGAGGGGGGTGTTACGTTTGAGGCACCTGAGTTGCCTGAGGAGACGCTCATGGAGGTGGGTGTATGTCAGAGTCTTGTTAGGGGCAAAGGAGAGGGAGGATAAAAGGAAAGCACATCCACAGCTCGAATGACCCTGTACGTGCAGGGAGACGTGACCTGATGATGTGAACTGGCTGCAGGAGAGCCAGCACAGTTTGCAGAAAGCTCAGGACACGTTTAGCAGAGTGGCTTTTGAGCCTTATATTGAGTCCCTGGGACAGACTATGTCGGGGGATATAACTTGTCATTTTCAAAACCTGGAGGTTGGAAATATCAGTTATCTGATGCGTTCTGTGTTAACCATTTCTGAAGAAAACCTAGGTGGTTTGTCACTCTTACTCTTTATAAGGCTCGGCATTGGTAACAGCTAATTTGAGAGAGTGAGTAGCTTAGTGTATCAAATGACTGCCCTCTCCATGTACTTGGGGAGTCAGACAGTGATACAGCCTCTAATGAAAGAATCTGAAAAAATATAAACCTGACATGTTGCTTAAGGCAGGGAGAGGGTAAAGTCTGTACCAGAACAGCTGAACCAGCTTGCGAGGCTGAAAGGCTGCCAGGGTCCCCTTCTTTGCAGGCTGGAGTGAGGCTGAAGCAGCGCAGATGCGTCTGTAGCTGAGATATATTTGAAATGTAGGTCAGGCTGTCCATGTGCAATAGAGGTGGGAGGCAGATGCAGTCATGGTTTCAGCTCTATTCCTATTATCTCCTTGGCTGCCCAGCACTGGGGAAGGTTCTTTGTATCCAAATTTTGCTGCTGTTGCTAAAATCTCCTAGCTACTGCAGAGTTCTGCACACATTGTTCTAAGGATGCAGGTTTGATCTGCTATTCCAAATTGTTTCTAGCTCAGACTTTTCTCACTTTTCCATTGGATGGCATTTGTTTGTTTGTTTACCTGCAGAGCCATGGGGCAAGGTTTTCAACATTGATGTGAAATAGTAGTGAATTTATTTAAGCATCATTCTTCTGTAAAGTCCCATGAGTACAGGGCTCTGCCAGCTGCCACCACTCCTCAGGATTGGAAGAAAAGTATTCTAGGAAAGTATCAGCTTGATCTCATTCACACCACTCGGTTCAGCTTCCCATATCTGTAGTGAGTTAGTTTGGTTTGGTGGTTTCTTCTGCTGAGCACAGCAGTCCATTTGCCTGTCACTGCCTTTCTGGCACCAAATATGCTTGGCATATTTGGACACCTTTTCGTACTCTGGGGATTTGAGTGGAACACAAACCTGGCTGGTTTTCTGCTTTCCGCTGACATTTTCAGGGCACTGAAAACTTGCTTTTTGCCTTGTTTATCTCGAGCATTGCTGTTACATTCAGATAGATGGTTCTCCTATCATTTGAAAAAGTTTCCCTAAGTGCAGGCAAGGCAAATTGAAGGTTAGGTTTGCAAGTTCGTCCTGTAGTGCCAAACAAGGCCAGGAACTGCAGTGTAATTAATAGCAGCCAACTATTTAAGCAGAGGGGAAAGACAAGGCTTTGGTTAGAGATACCAAGCTGAGGCCTGCCAGATCTCAATTTCCTGCTCTGCCACAAACTTCTTGTATGACTTGGCAGTTGCTTAATCACTGACTTCCCCTCTGCTTTTAAAGAGAAAAGAGGAAGATGGAGATAACATTTCCTTACCTCACCAGTCTGTCCAGGTAGCAATATAGTAGAGGAGAGATTTGTATTTCAGATATTCAAAGCTGCTGTGGAAGCCAAGTGCTTGAGCCAGTGAATAAAAAATACTAAGCATGCAAAAGCATGAAGAACTTGAGGCATATTTTTGTCCCAAATTCATGTAGGAAAGATCCTTACCAGTCCTCCTTTGGGAGAACCAACCCACTAAATATTTGAAGGTCAAACAAATTAGCTGCTTTTCTGCAGAGGCAGGGAAGGAACAGTGAAGCTGCGTTTGATCCAGACAGCCTACAGATTTGATAGGACCTGCAAGCATTCAGTTTTTCCACAGATGCAACCTTCCCAAAAAGCTTGCGTGCGATTTGAGCAATGCAGCTTCCCAGAAATGGGATAATCCCCTTTGATCCACAATAGCAGAAGAGAAGCTGCTTTGAAAGGAGCGTAACACCCTGGGTGAGAGTCTCTCTTCCCTCACTGACCAGACAGGACTCGCAGATAAAAATGTTGTCTTTGCTGTTGCCTTCCGAGCACCTCACCCAGGATTCATGTACACTGACCTGGAAGCATGTGAGGTGGAGAGCTAAGTGAGGGCATCGGGTATAGGGAGGGTTAAACTGTGGGTCAAGTTTCCTTGAGGGAGGAGGTTTCCACACTCATGAAACCGCCTACCGCTTGTACCAGCGTTGCTGTGATGAGGAGCAGAGCTGGGCCCACGGTACAGGCACTCTCCCTCTTCCACGTTGGCTTCCAAGCCTTGCCAGCCTCTCCAGGAAACAGCCTGTAAATACCTGTCCTGGGGCTGTCACTGCTCCTTGGAATGTGGAGGAGCTGGGTGCGTGGGCCCGGTGCGCAGCCTGAACGCCCCTTCCCCAAGTGGAGGTACAGAGGGATTTCTAGCCTGATGTGTTGTGTTTTCTAAACCTGGATGAGTCGCTGACACTGCCGCCCGGTGAGCGGCCCTCCCTGCCCTGCCAGCTCTGCCGTTAACCCACCTTTGCCTTCCCTTCTGCAGCAAGAGCACACGGACATCCTGCGCAGCCTCCGCTTCACGCTGGCCTTCGTCCACTACGTGATGGAAATCGCTGCCCTGAAAGGCAGCTCCAGCGAGATGAGCAGCTCCGTGGCATCCGAGTACCAGCTGCAGGAGAGCGTGGTGGCTGACCAGATCAGCCTCCTCAGCCGGGAGTGGAGGTGAGGGAGAGTCTGGAATCCCAGTGCTGGCACTGCCTGCTGGAAATCACCCGGGATGCGTGCTGCTGTAACCTTGCCCTGCTCAGCTGCTTGCATTGCAATGTGCTTTCTTTGCAGCTATGCAGAGCAGCTGGTGCTGTACCTGAAAGTAGCAGAGCTGCTGTCCTCTGGCCTGCAGACAGCCATAGAGCAGATCAAAGCTGGCAAGCTGTGCCTCTCCTCCACCGTGAAGCAAGGTAAGGGGCTGACTAAGCAGAACTGCCCCAAAATGAGAGTATTTAAAGCACCACAAGGGCAGGGAAGAGCTTGAGTGAATGTGAGCCCCTATGTGTGCTGGTTCCTCATTGTCCCCATGCAGGGCAAGGCCTTTCTGTCAGGGTATTTTTTATATATACGTAGTACTCAAACTCCTCCTCCTTTGCAAATCTCCAGGGCTGGTTAGTGAGAGGGGAATATCTCTTATCTGATTCTTGTATGCCTCTATCTCAGATGCTTATTTGCACTTGACGTAAGTCCACTTTAATTACATGTTCTAGTAAGTGCTTACTTGGCAAACTGAGACGTGTCTTGGCAGTGATGATTTTCAAGTGAAATGAAAACACAGGAAGTGAAATACTGGTAACACCAGAGTCGCTTGTTTGCTAGTCTCTTATGGCCTTACATTTGCATCTGACTGCCTGATTTGTTGTTGGTTATGATGTGAGCTGCCTGTGATTCAGTGATTAGAGAAAAAAATCATTCAAAAACTACCATTAAAAACTACCATAAAAACCATTATTATGGTTTTTTAAAGGAGATTTTTTTATGGTCTTTTTTAAAGGAGATTCTTGAAGCACAGGAAGTTCTTGACCCCTCAGCCTCCTTTTCCATAGGGTTTAGTCTTTGGAAGTACCTGTGCTTTCTTGGGGGAGAGAGTGTATATATAAAAATAAATAAAAATGAGCACACATATGCTGTAGTGAGCATTTTGGAGAAACACAGGAAAAATCCCTACACATCTTCCACGTACCCAGACTAATGGGAAAGTCATTATAACCCAAGCAAATTGTTCCTCTTCATGGACAGATCGTAGTGGCTGATGACAGCAGTGCTGCTCTGTTGGTGGTGGGAATTGGGCAAGGCTCTCTTCTTATTTGCCCACACAACATGACTCCCCTGAGGTTTTCCTCAAGGAAAAGAGGGTTTTCGGGGTACTTGGGTAACTTGGTCCCATGGGCCAAGTGGGGAAATGTGACAAGGGGTTGCCCCCAACTGTCCCTAGCAGTGCGTGCCAGGCAGGGTCTCTACCCACAACTTGCTGTTTTTTTTTTACAGTAGCTTGGGCAATGCCCAGACCTCTGATTGAATTTTATTAATGAGGACATTGCTTTGTTTGTTTTAAGAAATAAAGTCTGCCTTGGCTTTTCAAGCGCGAACCCTTCTCAAGGAGTTCTTGATTTCTCCCTCCTGATTCCATCTAGGAGCTTTGGGTTTCCCTATTTCAACTTCTTTCTGAGCAAGGCTGCCCTTTGAGTCCCTCACAGGAGAGCAGGTTCCCCAGGGAGCCTCGCTTGGCTCTTCAGTCCGTGCTGCTCCTCCACACTCGCCTCTAACAGCTCTCATGCAAGTCCCATACTTTTTCACAGCACATCATCGCCCATCAAGTAACAGAAGCCTCATATCTGGCACGTCTGTTGCTTCTGGTGATGCATGAGACAATTGCACAGTGCAAAATGCTTTACCCTGAGGCAGCTGAAAGAAACAGAAATAGACCTGGCCTCAGGTGACCTGGGCGTATGTGTAGGTGTTGCCATGTGCAGGCTTGTAACTGGTGAAGGTGACAAAGGACAGGAGAAAGACAAAGCCCCTGTTGGTGCAGGGGGTGCTTCATTGTTGGTCTCATAATGGCTTTAATACAACCCACGGGGCTCTGGGTTGTTTATGTGGAGTCCTGTGCATGAGGAATGGGAGGCACAGGGAGAACTGGAAGTGGAGCCCAAAGCATTTCCTTCCTTTGCCCTAGTTGTGAAGAAGCTGAATGAGCTTTATAAATCCAGTGTGTCGTCCTGCCACTGCCTCAACATGAGACTCCAGAGGTTCTTCTTGGACAAACAGAAGCTCATGGATCGCATCAACAGCATCACCGCCGAGAAGCTCATCTTCAGCTACGCCGTGCAGATGGTAAGAGCCACACAGTGCCAGGAAGAGGGGTCTGGGCAGAGCCAAGGGTGGGCACTAACAATTCCTGTCCGTGGCCTTGGATGGGTTCATTCCTGGTGCCGTGTGCAGCCCCTGGAGAGCTGGACAAGGAGGTGGCATGCAGCATAGGGACCGTGTTGGGAGAACTGGGTCTGATCTGGGAATAAGCCCTTGCATGGGGTTGTTGTCTGTAGGTGCAGTCTGCAGCCCTGGATGAGATGTTCCACCACCGAGAGGACTGTGCACAGAGGTACCACAAGGCCCTGCTGCTGATGGAGGGGCTCTTGAACATCATCACCGAGCAGGGAGACATAGAAAACATCAATAAATGTGAGTGTTCAGAGCCTGGTTCTTCAGCAGACCATGCTGTGTCTTTTCTAGCTGCAGGGATCAGGAGTTTCAGTATCCAGCATCCTTGTGTGTGTGTGTGTGTTTGGCTACATTTTAGTGGACATAGTAGAGATTTCTTGGCTTGTAGTTTCTTCTAGCCACCAGGCCTCCTGCTTTCCCAGTGGGAAAACTGTTGGAAACGCAGGCCCTTGTTCCACGCCATACACTGAGAGCTGCTCTGCATTTGCCAGAGCTTTGCTGAGCTTTTGATGCGTGAGAGAACTTGCTGAAGGAGGTGGCTTGGCAGCAGCCAAGACCTGCACTTGGTTCCCAGCCGGGACCGTCCGTCCCATCGCGCAGAGCCCTCGGGAGCGCGAATCCGCGGCGGCTGCTGACGGAGCTGGGGGCAGCTCCGTGTCCCCCTGCGGAGGGCAGGCACTGCCGTGGGCACAGGCAGCCCCTGCAGAGCCCCTTCCTCGGCCTGCTCTGCCCCGTCACAGCTAAACCCGCCCTCAGCAGCAGCCCTGCGAGGGGAGAAGGCAGAGCTGGCAGCGGCGTCTCCTTCCCTCTGCTGGCAGGTGGACTTGTTCCCTGGGCCACATCCTATACGCTGCCAGGCTGCCCTGCTCGTCCCCGTCGATACAGCCCTGGGATAGGTGCTGAGATGGGAGTTCTGCCTCACAGGCCATCAGGCCGTTAATTATCACCAGCTTTAATAGTGACCTGAGGCTCAGTGAGGAGAGCAGAGTGTGCAGTGCTGGCTGGGGGTCAATAGGAAATGCTAAGCAGCTTCCAGGGCACCGTTGCTTACAAACCTAAAGCACATCTTTGCCCAGAGATAGAAATTTCTGATTCATGCCCCTAATAGATTTCTTTCCCCCACTGATATCCAGCTTCCTGAGCAGGTTGCTGCCTGGTAGGCTCTAATAGGTACGGGTTCCATTTCATATCTGAGATACATGTGTGTTTTGTTATTTATTTCTCAAAAGTAAAGTAATGAACCTAGAAATGAGAAAGCCTTCGTGGTAGAGAAATGAGTTCCAGCAAACTGAAAGCTTTTGAAAAATTCTTCCCGGGCTGGTGCAGACAAGAACCTGGCACTGACCACGCTGAGCTGGGCTGTACTTGTTCCCTCTGATTTAAGCCATGACAAAGGGCATTGAGACCTTGAGCCACCTTAGCTGCTGGCAAAGCCGCTCCATTAACTCCAAATGGATGGACTGGTAGTGGCAGACCGTGGTCCTTAACAGCATCTTGATGCCTCCACTGCAGCTGCTATCTCCTGGTTTTCTTTGCTGGAGCTCTGATTATTCCACTCCTCAGCAGGGTGTTTTTGGTTAGATGCTCACCTGAATAAGTGTTTGTAGTGCCAGGAAAATGGAAAGATGATTTTCTGTGTCGTCTTTTTCTCTCCCAGGCAAACTGTGCATCGAGCGCAGGCTGTCGGCTCTGCTGTCGGGGTTCTGCGCCTGATGTCAAGGTTCATCCTCTCCACACATCTCACCCTAGCTGATCACTCTCTGCTTCCAACACCTGCTGCTGTGGCAAGAAATGATCCTGGCAGGAGGAGACCTGGAGGATGAACTGCTCAGTGTTCTGTATTTTGAGGCTTTGGGAAGTTGTTCCACAGACTCGGATTCTCTTGTGGGTATGTGTGACTGCAGCGAGCACCAAACTTCCCTGCCCAAAAGCCTGGGTGAAGACACAGACAATGTGGAAATGTTTCCCTCGTTGGCAGAGGGGGATGAAGGATAGAATTCCACTTCTTCCCAGCACTTTGAAGGAAAAGACTGCCTATCCCTCTTGTTTAAGAACAGGGTATTCCAGTGCTGTCTCCATTGCGGGCAATGGATGTGCTGAAACTGCTGGCTTCAGTTCACGTTGGAGGGTGTCATTCAGAAATCAAGGCCAGTTTGTGACTTTCCCCTAGCCCAGCTGATAGGCAGGCATCCTAACGCTTCCTGGCAACCCGAGGCTCCCCTCCCTAGCCCCTTCCCCTCCGTGTTTTTGCCTTGGAGCGCTTGCTGCGTGGCAGAGAAGGGGAGTCAGCTCCGTTGAGAGCTGAAGCGGCTCCCGCCTTCCGCAGGCTCCTGAGCAAGGCAGGACACGTCGCTGCCGGGCAGGTTGCGGCACCCGTGGCTGTCGCGTGGCTGGAGAAACGACGCAAGGAAAGAGACTCTGCCCGGAAAGCAAGAAGCCGACGCGCCGCGTAACGGTGCCGCGGCAGCCGAAACGCCTCCGCGCTCAGCGGGGCCGAGGGTAAAACTCTGGGCTGTGCAGCTCGGCCTCTCAGTACATATCTGCCCGAGGAAGCACGAGCGAGTCCTGCTTTCAGCTGTTGGTTAGAGCCCCCTTCCCGTCCCCCGTCCCGGAACTGAAAACACTAGCTTTGTGAATCAAAGGAGCACTTTACAACTGTGGGAACTGCGAGAAGTTGACTTTGCATCACACGACAACCCAGGAACATCACGACTGTTAGGAATGCTCTTTTTTTTGTTCCTTTCCTTGTGTCCTGGTTGTTCAATTGCACTACGTGTGTGCATATATTGATATGTATCCCTGAGGGTTGAATATATGTTGATATATAGGGTTTGTGTGTAACTGTATGTATTTAACTGTACTGTATCTTGTGAGTGTGAGGCAAAGAGCACGGCAGAGTCTGTGCGATTCCTCCTCCACACCAGGCAGAGCTGACTTGCAGTCTGGCAGTACCAAGATAATTTGTGTTTTGTTTTTTATTTAAGTGTTCTTTTAAGGACAGTCGATATAAAGCTCCTTGCTTTTTAAGAGCTCAAGAACAGGCGTTAAGATCCTACACACTTAGATTGGAAACGCATTTTTAAAAACAAAGTTTTATTTGCTGCTTAATTTTTATAAAGAAATCTTGTAGTGTTCGGTTTTTGTGTTCAGCATTTCTTCTGAAGAGACTCTGTAGCCAAACGAGGCTGTGGGTGCGTGTGGCTGGGTGCGGGGTGAGCTCGGGTGCTGTGAGCGTGCGTGGGGAGCTGGCTGCCCTCCCCGCTGGCTGCGTGCGCATGTGTGTGTCTAAACTTAGCAGAGTCGTGGCAGTATTTTGTTAGCGCTGGGCAGAAAGCATCTGAAAGCAACTCGAAAACCTCAGGCTTCGTTTTTGGGGATCTAATAATATTTTGCACATGGTGGTTAAGTCCTCATTGCTTTTCTTTCTCTCCGTTTTTGCACGGTCAGTGTGATACGTTATGAGGGTTCCAAGGAGCAACTTAATTGACTTTTGAGCTGGCATCATCTTTGGCAACATGGATGTTTTTGATCGCAGAGCAGAAATGCTAATAACAAAATTAAAAAACACTTTTGATTGCCCCCACCAGGGAAGTTTGAGTGTAGCTCACAGAAATCCTTCAGTATCAGGTCTCCGTTACATTCTCCCTTCACAGCCTGCTGCTTCTGTGGCTGCTTGTGCTTGTGCCTAAAAAAGCAAATACAGGAAAAAAACCAACAAAATAAGCCCCAGCCTGTGGCCAAAAATGTCGAAGAGACCCAGACTGCTTCCAAAAGGATGTGACCAGCTCGGCAAGGGCTTCCTGCAGGTCCTGCAGGACGCAGCGCGAGAGCACCAAGGCCTCCGGCACCCGCTGCCCCGCGGCCCCGGTACCTTCCAGCCAAGGAGAAGAAGAGCCCAGGACTTGTCCATGCTGCAGGTTCAACGATCCATGGACGTGGCAAGCTCAGCACTAACCTTCCAGCTGTACTTAATTACTTGAATGTACCAAAATTGTCCACATTCAATGTATACAAATATATATTGCTCCAAAAAAACAATTGTGGTTTACAGACCTACAACCAATATATATATGTATGTGTTTGTGTATATACATACAATTCTACGTGTGTGTATGTGTGTGTATGTATATGTACGCACGCAAACACATACATGTGTGTATATATATATGTTTTCTCTCAATACTTGAAACTTAGCCACTGTGCTTGAATTAAAAAAAAAAAAAAAAGAAAAAAAGGAAAAAAAAAAAAGGAAAAAAAAATCCGACAGGTGATTTATTTTGCCATCACTTTGGTGACTTTATTTTTTATCTAATTGCATGTAGCGTGAAACCAACTTTTTTGGTGAAAAATATTTATTGCTTTGTAGACAACAAGGAATGCAAAAAAAATCAAAAAAGAGAGAAAAACATTGTTGAAGTTGCTAGCGTAGTCCACTTGCTATTGTCTTGGCTTTGTTACTGTTGCAGCGTTTGTGTGTAGCGTCTTTATTAGATTTCAAGAAACCTCAGTCTAATAACACGTATCTTCAGGTTTATGAGAGCGTATGATGTTGTTCTTTATAAGGTAATGCTTGATACTTTGTCAACTTCTTTTTTTTTATTTGTGTTTTGTGTGACTTTTTTTGGCTTTAAATTGTATAACACCAATTTAAGAAAATAAAATTGATTTGAAATTGTTAGTGCCCTATGTATTTTCTGAAACTGCTATAATTTCTGTTGCTGCAGTATCCAAGTACAGCACTCAGCATGTTTTGCTCTGCCAGCCTTGCCTTTCGGAGGGGGAAAGAGCTGTTGTCTCCTTTGCACAGAGGGTCAAGTTTGAGGCAAGAAACCAGGTTTTAGTATTTGCAGGATCAGCCTGTTGAAACTTTATTACTGGGTGCTTGGTGAAGGCATCTGATGCTCCTGTTAAAGGGCAAGGAATGAGCGTCAGTTGTTACTGTTGTTTCCATGCAAGCGGATGGTTATAAACATGATTTATTTCGTGATTTATTTATCCAGCTTTATTTTAGCAATAGAGTCAGGAAGCTTATTGCTGCATAAGCAGTGTGCTTCCAGATGAAGCGTGGGAGGAGGGATGAGATTTGGGTACTTCTACTTTGGATTAAACATTTCCCTGGGGGATTTGTGCTATTTTAGCAGAACAAATGGCCTCTGGCTTTGTTTTCTCTTGCTCACCTAAATCTTGCCCACGTAACCTCAAAGGAGGTGACAATAATTCCACGATCCTTTCCCAAAACTTGGCTTGCTGGTGTGTGGATGTTACTGTTGGCCTCAACGTCCCTGGGGAGAGACTCCTGCCCACCAGCCCCTGCTCCACTAAGTGCCGCCCCCACAGCAGTTACGGGACCTCCTGCTTTTTGTAAGAAAAGGTCTTATTTCCAAAACGTAGTTTTATGAGGACTGGGATTGTTTATTTCTCGCTCACTCCTATTTACAACCTCTGTTTCCCATCCCTTTCCCACCAAGGGAACTGGACGTCGCGTGTGTCCTGCCTGGAGGTGTCAGACTCTGTGGAGCTGCCATTTGTGCCAGCTCTCCCGCAGGAGACGGGGCTATTCCATGTGTGCTCCGCGTTTGTGCAGGAGACAGGGTTATTCCATGCGTGCTCCATGCTTGTGCAGGAGATGCGGCTATTCCATGTGCGCTCCGCGTTTGTGTGGGAGACAGGGCTATTCCATGTGTGATCCGTGCTTGTGTGGGAGACGGGGCTACTCCATGCACGCTCCATGTTTGTGCAGGAGACGGGGTTATTCCATGTGTGCTCCACGTTTGTGCAGGCGACCCCTTGTTTGCGCTAGTCCCTGTGCCACAGGGCAGCCGGGTAGGGAGCGCTCCATGAATTCCCCGTGAAGGAAGATGCTGCTTTTGAAGCCCTCCATGAGGGAGTTAAAAGGATCATATGGAATCTTAAACCTAAAAGGGGAATGGCTGAGTGCCGTGCGCCCCGTGCGGATTGGGAATACTCTGCTGAGTCCATAGGACTCTTTCACGGGCAGCAGAGCAAAGTGGGGAAAGTGCTAGCGGGAGACTTTAAACAGCAGAAATAAAGAGTCTCTCCTAAAAGCTCTAAACCACAAGGCCTGAAAAGTTTAAAAGCACCAGTGAAAATTGCACAACTTTCTAGACGTTTATTGTGATGTTTTGTAGCTGTTGCTCACTTGCTGAAAACAAGCCCAAGCAATTCTCCCAGCGCCTTTGGCTCTGTTCCCATATTTTATATTTAGTTGTTGGCATGTACGTCAGCAAAAACGCGCTCATTCAGCTATCAAAGATCAGAAGTGGCCTGATGACATCAAAGGAATGGATGGGTGTGTTTTAAACCGAGGGGATATAAAGATCAAGAATTCCACTTTTAGCTACCAGCTCTTTTCCTTTTAGAACTCTATTTTTCTAGGGGGAGTTAACTCGTTCGCAGCGTGCCTTAGCCGTGTGCTGTTCAGCTCTGCATCCTCCTCTGCAGTGACGTTTCGGCCAGTCTCAGTGCGCCCACTGCAGGGAAGTGCTGCCCGGAATCGCTGTGGAAGAAGCTCTCCGTCCTCATGGATGTGGAGGGTGGCCTGGCAGGAGAGCGGGGACACGAACACAGCCCCTTTAGGCAGGAGAAGTTCACGCTGCACCCCTCGAGCAGTGTCTGTGATAGGCGCCTGCCTGGCTGGGGAATGGTGGAACACAGGGTAGGGATACAGATTTCGCCAGTGCAGTTCTGTGGTGAAAACAGCATTTTTAGGCACTTTAGAGATCCCCACCCTCCCTATGCCAGTTGAGACCTGACAGGGGATGTTCATGCTCTCAGGAAATGTGTTAAATAACGTGTTTGTAAGAAGGAGCCTAAGAAGGTAAGGCCAAACACAGGGTTCTTTCCTTAACAGGGACCAAGGCCAGCCGAGTTTCAGCATGTTCCTGGTTAACCCTTCATCAGCCCTCCCTGAGACCCAAGCACTGCTGCTGGGGATCCCTGGGGCCGGTCCCAGTCCTTTCTGCTGTCGCACACGGCCGTCTCTGCCCACAGGAGCCAAAGCTCCCACACAAGAGCAGTCAGCCTGCCGTGCCCGAGGCTGCCGCGCGCCAGCAAACGCCTCGCAGGCCCACGGATGCTTCGTGGCATCCCACGCATTTGCTTGCATGGACAGAGAGCACGGTAAGTCACTGTGGCGCGGAATTACAAGCCTGTCAGGATTCGTGCTGCAGGTGATCTTCAACTACAGACAAATCGTTTCCAAGCCTCTCACAATTCAGATCTAGCTTTAGGCAGCGCTGTGTTCTTTCCCAGTGAGACTGGACTGGCCTGTGTTCTGGTTACAGAACCTGGTGCTGATGGGACGCTTGGC